AAGACACACACACAAATGTTGAATGAGCTTTGCTCATAAAGCAAAACACTAGAAATCATCCAGCTACAGATGAAAGAATGTATCATATGTAGTATAAACTATGAGAATGAACTATAACTTTATGAAACAATATCTATGTTTCTTAAAACACATTGAGTGGAAAAAAGTAGATTCCTGAAGATTACACACAGTATCAAACAATTTATGTAAATCTCAAAAACAAGTGAAAAATATGTATGTGGGGAAACACTAATGATTTTTATATGATAAAGCAAAAGCAAAGGTATTTAGAATGGTTACCTTTTGAGTGAAATGTAAGCTATATTAATTATCTCCCCAACCAAACCCACTTTTCCATTCACAGAGGCCATTCTTATTCTGGCCACCAGGGGGCATCCACAGAGTTGATTATTTTTGCTTGGTGTTGTCCTTCATGGTTTACGACTTCCAGATAAAAGAAGAGAGTTGCTTGATATATTGGGTAAACTTTCTAAAAAGCTATTTAATTTTTTTTGTTGTTGTTTTGTTTCTGGTCTCTACATCAAATCTTTCTTCTTATCCTTCCCTCTGATTTTCTCTCGCCCACATGCATGCTCCTAAGAGTTTCTCTAAGCTTAGCAAAGCAGTCTTTCACACACTGTTTCTCTCAGGAAAACTGAATTTTTTTTTTTTTTTTTTTTGTGTAGGAACTAGGAGTTTACTCATGCCTCTTGTTGTTTGAACATCCACCACTGGAAGAATCATGGCACAACACAGTGACTCCAGAAACCTCAGCTCACTCTTTTTAGTGAATTAATCAGATGGTCAAGAATTAAAATGGGAGGATCAAGTTCAAGTTTAGTCTCAGCAACTTAGTAAGGTCCTAAGTAACTTAGTAAGACTCTGTTTAAAAATTAAAAAAAAAAAAAAAAAAGAAGAGTGGAACATGGTGGAGCACACCTGTAATTCCAGTGCCCGGGGAGGGGGGGCGGGGGGGGGCGGGGGGGTTAAGGCAAGAAGACTGCCAAGTTCAAGGCCAGTCTCAGCAACTCAGCAAAGCCCTAAGCAACTTAGTGAGAGCCTGTCTCAAAATAAATAAAATAAAAAGGGCTGGGGGTGTAGCGCAGCCATCTTCAAGAGAAGCCATTTTTTTTCTTGGAGTCAATCTATTGCTGTTCCTTTACTGTCAGTCAAAAGTCAAAAGAWGACCCTGAGTGGGACCCTGGACACTTCCCAGGAACCCCCAATAGAATTGGAGGACAGGAGGGGTGTGCTATTTCTCTCTGAGAGGACCCCTGTCTCCCTTGAGAATGTCCCATTTTCTCCAAAGCTATTTATTAGAAACARGGCTTGACTGTTAGAAGAGCAATTACCCTGGAAATTTTTGTTGTTGTTGTTGGTAGAGGGGATTAATCTCAGGAGTGCTCTGCCACTGAGCCACATCCCTAGCCCTTTTTATTTTGAGGCAGAGTCTTTAAGTTGCTCAGGTTGTCCTCAAACTTATAATCTTCTTGCCTTAGCTTCCTGAGTTGCTAGGGGCAGGACTATGAGTTTTTGTTTATTTGTTTTTTTTTTGTTTGTTTTAGTTGTAGATGGACACAATAACTTTATTTATTTATTTATTTTTAATGTGGTGCTAAGGATCAAACCCAGTGCCTCATACATGCAAGGCAAGCGCTCTACCTCTGAGCTACAACTGCAGCCCAGGCCTGTGGGTTTTTGACCCACAATGTGGTGTGACAATAATATTACCATGCTGTTTTTTCTTTTTTTCTAAAAAATATTTATTTATTTATTTTAGTTCTCGGCAGACACAACATCTTTGTTTGTATGTGGTGCTGAGGATCGAACCCGGGCCGCACGCGTGCCAGGCGAGCGCGCTACCGCTTGAGCCACATCTCCAGCCCATGCTGTTTTTTCTATATGGCTCAGAACCAGGCTTTGAAGATGCCAACTGAAGTCCAAACTTGTATTGAATGATGAAATAAGTGCTTTGTTTTCCTGAGGACTATGTTGGAGGGAAAAAACTTATGCCTCATTGCTTTGTTCTCACACCTCCTCTATCTGTGAAGAAAATACTGTTGGTTTTACCTAGTGATTTGGAGGTCTGGAAGAGTGTGCAGGTGGGAATCTGTGGAGTCTCCCTCAGAAGGAAAGAAAGGAGATTTCGGATGGGAATTTGATTCACCCATTGCTTTGAGCTCATGGGCCTCTTATTTTAATCATGAAGGCTTCTTTGGTTTTAAGTGGAAAGGAATTTGAGAACAAAATTTGTTTTTAGGGTTGAGGATATAACTCAGTGGAAGAGAGCTTGCCTAGTAGTCATAGGGCCCTGGGTTTTACTCCCAACACCACAACACACATGAATTGGTTTGTTCTTAAAATTCCTTGTGCTTATGCACAGGCTGTTCTGGGAAGTCAAATTAGATTGACCCCAGCAGAGCTTTACCACTGAGTACATCCCTGGCCCGTTTTTAAAACTTTATTTTGAGCCTGATGCAGTGGTGCATGCCTATAATCCCAGTGGCTTGGGAGGCTGAGGCAGAAGGATCACAAGTTCAAGACCAGCCTCTGCAATTTAGCAAGACCCTTAGCAATTTAGTGAGACCCTGTCTCAAAATAAAAAATAAACAGGGCTGGGGATGTGGCTCAGTGATTAAGCAGCTCAGTGGTTAAGCACCCCTGGATTCAATCCCTGGTATCAAAAACAAACAAACAAAACTCCTAAAAGCCTTTATGTTGAGACAGGGATTCACTAAATTGCCCAGGCTGGTCTTGAATTTGCAGTTAAACCTCCTGCCTCAGCCTCCTGAGTGACTAGGATTACAGGTGTGTGTCAGCATGCATAATAAAGAAGAAAAAAAATAGCCAAAGAAGATAAACAGATGGCAAATAAGCATATACAAAAACACTCAATATAAAACATCATTAAGGAAATGCAAAATAAAATAGTGATGAGATACCAGTATATACACTCATTACTATGGTTAAAATCCCAAACATAGACAATACCAAATCCTGACAAGGATGTATAGCCACAGGAACTCTCATTCATTGCTGGTGGGAATACAAAATTGTACAGTCTCTCTAGTTTTTTCATAAAATTAAACAAAGTTTTACTATATGATTCAGTCATTACTCTCCTATTTACCTAAAAGAGTTGAGAACTTACATCTATACAAAAACCTTCATCAATGCTTATAAGCAGTTTTAGTTATAATTGCCCCAAATTGGAAGTGACCAAGGTAGTCTTTAATAGTTGAATGGATAACAATGGTATACCCATATAAATGGAATGTATTCTATGCTAAATAGAAATAAACTACACTAAGCTAGAAAAACATACTGCTAGGGGAAAGAAGTCAATCTGAAAAGGCTACATACTATGGGATTCCAACTATATAACATTCTAGAAATGGCAACTCTAGAGACAATGGTTGCCTGAGGTTGGGAAGGGTTGGAGGGAAGAATGGATAGGTGGAGCATAGGAGATTATTAGAGCAGCAAGACAATTCTGTTTGATATGATAGTAGGGGATATGTGACATTATACATTTGGCAAAACCCATAGAATTGTAAACAAAAACCTCACAGGTGCTTATAGGGGCAACTGGTTGGGGGAGAATGAGTATATAGGAACCCTGTTATTTTATGTTCATTTTTTTGTAAATCTAAAAATCACTCTAATAAATACTTTATTTATAATTAAAATAACAAAATTACAGAATCACTGGGTATATATTTCTATTTACTGGTTTTTTGTTTTTTTTTTTTTTTTTTGGTACCAGGGATTGAACCCAGGGGCACTTAATCACTGAGCCTCATCCCTAGTCCCTATTTTGTATTTCATTTAGAGACAGAGTCTCAGTGAGTTTCTTAGCACCTCGCTGTTGCTGAGGCTGGCTTTGAACTTGAGATCCTCCTGCCTTAGCCTTCCTAGCCGCTGATATTACAGGCGTGTGCCACTGTGCTTGGCTTCCCCAGCCCTTTTTATATTTTGTTTAGAGACACTGAATTGCTTAGAGCCTCGCTAAGTTGCTGAGGCTGACTTTGAATTCACAATCCTCCTGCCTCAGCCTCCTGAGCTGCAGGGATTACAGGCATGATCCACAGCACCTGGCTACACTATCTTTGTTTATACTCCAGTAACAGAAGTTTAATCTGTTAGATCAAGTATGGTCTGTTGTTGTTGTTTTACTTTGCATTTCCTTGCATATTACTTAGGTTGAGGATCTTTTCCAGATTGTTGGACTTTCCAAGTTTTCTGGTTATGATTTGGTCTGTCTGATCTGTTCTTGCCTATTTTCCCAGATGATTGATTTTTTCCCCCCTGCGTTGGGACCTCCTGCATGATGGAGAAGCACTATACCACTGAGCCACACCCCATCCCTACTGTTCACCTTTTGATTGTGAATTTGTAGAATTTAAACAATTTTAGCATATTAATAACTCCATTTTGTATGTTACAAATGTTTTGTCACAATCTGTCATCTCTGTCTGAACTTGTCTTTGTCTTGCCCCACAGGAAGTTTTAAGTTGGAAGGGGACTGCCTGAAAATTTATTTCTGGGGAGACATAATCTCAGCCAGCCCTCTAGGTACACCCCATTTTTCTGGCTGGCTTTAGCCTTTTTGTTCCTGAGTCTCCACACTGAACCCAGAGCTCTCTGGTCCAGCATGTACACAAAGGCTTCTTTTGGCCATGTTCTGAGTCCGGCATGGTTTTATCTAATGGGATGAACCTGGTTAAAGAGATTAGCAAGATGTCTTGTGACTCCCACTTTTAATCTGCAGTGTTCAGGCTACTGTTTGGCTGGGAAGGGTGCTACAGAAACGACGCCCCAGACTTGCCCCCGCTACCGTTACTGAGTTAACGGGGGTCCCAGGATAGGGAGCCCAACATGGGCAACCCCCAGAGCAGCTCCCTTCAGCCTGGGCAGTCTGCACCCTTCTCAAGGCCCTGAGTGGTCAGTCCCTGGGCTCACTCAGGTTAAGAGTGGGAGCTGTGCTGCAGGAGGCTATCTGGACAGCATTTGGCAAGGATGGCACTGCTGAAAGTCAAATTTGACCAGAAGAAGCGGGTCAAGTTGGCCCAAGGGCTCTGGCTCATGAACTGGCTCTCCGTGTTGGCTGGCATCATCGTCTTCAGCTTAGGGCTATTTCTGAAGATTGAACTCCGGAAGAGAAGTGATGTGATGGATAATTCAGAGAGCCATTTTGTGCCCAACTCCTTGATAGCAGTGGGGATGTTGTCCTGTGTCTTCAACTCTCTGGCTGGCAAGATCTGCTATGATGCTCTGGACCCTGCCAAGTATGCCAAGTGGAAGCCCTGGCTGAAGCCATACCTGGCTATCTGTGTCCTCTTCAACATTGCCCTCTTCCTTGTGGCTCTCTGCTGTTTTCTGTTGCGGGGCTCATTGGAGAGCACCCTGGATCAAGGGCTCAAGAATGGCATGAAGTACTATAGGGACACAGACACCCCTGGCAGGTGTTTCATGAAGAAGACCATGGACTTGCTGCAGATCGAGTTCAAATGTTGTGGCAACAGTGGCTTTCGGGACTGGTTTGAGATTCAGTGGATCAGCAACCGCTACCTGGACCTTTCCTCTAAAGAAGTCAAGGAGTGAGTAGTCTCTAGTCCTGGGGCCAGATCTATGTGGGGACACTGAGGCCCAGGCCTCTGACTCCCCACCCCATCCAGTCCCTTTTCCTTTACATTGGGTATACAACTTATTAGTATGTTATGAAGGGGCATTAGGTTGGATCACATGAAATTGCCATTATCCTAGTCCCTTTGGTCTGTGAAAATGGCAACTCCATACAGTTCAACCTAATGTTTGGCTGAGGTGGAAGGAAGGTGTCAAGTTATATAAGCTGCTTGAATAAGAATCCCCAGGAGGGAGATATAGTCAGGTATGCGTGTACGCTTTCTACTGCAGGAATGGGGTCATTCATGGTTCACATACATTGAGACATTTGGTACTTGTTTCTTTAATCAAAGGAGGTGGATTCAGTCCCAGAAGTTTAAAATTTCTGATACATTCCCTAGCTTTCCAATTTTGAACCCTGAGCATCCACTCCCAAGACATTGTTCTTAGACATGGTGGAATCTAATCAATACCATTTTCTTTATGGGTACAGAGCAGAGGATGGGAGCAGTCAGAGCTAGGCTGTAGTTCTGGCTTGAGGCCTTGGGCAAGTCACTTGCTTCTGTGAGTCCTTGATTGCTCATCTTTCAAATAAATGCAGGTGCTCTTGGAGCTCACCTCTCAGCTCTATGCAGAGCCTGGCATCCAGCAAATGCTCATGAAATGCCTGCTGGTGTTTACTTCTGAAATCATGATAGCACAATACACTCAAGTATTTCTAAGGTATTCTTGGCATATATAAAAAGGAAATCCTGCAGGGGCCGAGGGGAGGTGATGGTGAGAAAGAATCTCCGCATGTGTGTTCGCAATGCCAACCTGTGTACTGACTCCAATGGATGGCTCTTCCCAGAAGACCCACTGTGGTGGGTCTGAAGTGACTGTCCAGGGAAGGCAGCCTGCCTTGGCCCCTGGCTCCCCTTCATATCTTTTGTCCAACTCTCTATTATGCTGTTTATATAAATGGTTATACAAGTGGTTTTCCATCTGAATAAGTCTGGCAAGTCCCTGGGGGACTTGAACATGAGGCCTGGGGCACACCAGCAGTAGGACATGACTGAAGTCCAAGTAACACGACTGGCTTCAGAGGACTGAGTTAGCTCCCCACAGGTGGAAGGAAAGTCAGAGTGAAGGTCACTGCTTGGGATTTTGTTTTCTCTGTGGGTGGAGATTACTGCTACAAATCCCTAGAGGAGAGGATTGTAACCGGCTCTGCCCTTCCTAGATGACAGGTCCACAGGGACAGCATAAGGTGGCATGATTTGCATAAGTCACCTAGGAGGTTGTGAAGCCAGAGGGAGAAGCAGAATTCCTGGGGAGTGTGAGAGGCCAATGGCAGAACCAGCTTTTGTGAGCAGATATTTGTTTTCCGAATAGGGTCAGTCTCCTGAGACATATAAAAATGGCTCTGTAGCCCCAAGTCCCTTTTTGTTCAAGTGGAGAAGTCACCCAGGTTGTTCTCAGTGACCAATGGATCCGAAATTTCAGGCAAATATTTAGCTTTCTCAAAACTACCTCAACGCCCTATACCAACTTGTTAGAGTGAAATTATCCTGACTCCATTGACTTGGACAAAAAATCTCTCTATTATCCACACACAAAAATATGATGATGATAATATTGAGAGGAACAAAAACAGGAAAGGAAATTCAAACAAGATTCTCACCAGCAACTAATGGATGGCTTTAATTTTTTCACATTTCAGTCTAGTCTTGTTAGCAGTGACATAATAACATAGTGTAATCATAGTATAAATGCAATTGAGTATTCCATTCTGTTATCTGATTACATAACATTTGCATAATGTTTACAATGATCCTGTTTAATGGTTGCATACTGTTTCACTGCATGAATGTGCACACTTAGGCATTTAGATTATTCTTATTTGTGTCTATTTTAAGTATCTTTGAGTCCTGTGCTTCTGTCTCTGTTCTCTTATTTCCCTTTGGCTAAATTTCCAGGAAGGAAGTGTACCTGTTGGCTTTCTCTTTCTACAAAGCTGGTCTTAAGACACAACTGTATAACTTAAGTCTCTTTCTCCTTTATAAAATTTCCAATGATGTTACACTTTAGAGGAACTAATTGTGCTTCTAAGAGAATAGCCTAATACGCTCACCGGTGCACAGACTCTTAATGGCGTAGGCAGTGCCCAGGAGGGGAGTGAGGCTTAATGGAGTTATAACTGCCTGGGGCCAGCATCCTGGATCCAGTACTCAGCACAGCTCTTACCTGTGGTGGGAAAAACTAGGGAAGGAAGGAATGAGAAAGCAGAGTGACACTTACTTTCACTGCAAGTGATGCTAAATTTTTTTACCTTCATATTTTGATGCCTTCATTTAGGAAGATTAATAAGTTTATGGAACAAAGCTGACTCCCAAAAATACTCCCTAGAAAAATAAAAAGTCTATTTACCTTTTGACATCTCAACATTGAAAAGTCGTAAGCATTTATCTGTCCCTGGAATTTCTCAGTAGTATGCTTATCCTAGGATTCTGATGAAAAAGAGATGGGGCCCTGTGGGAGGCAGGGAGAGGAAGCAGTTATCATCCACTAAGATTTTTTTAGGAGGATTTCTCCTTTTTCCTTTCCTCACCAAATCTGGACATGCCAGCAAAAAGGCTGGAGTGAGCCTCATGTCCCTGAGGACTCGAACCTGAGGACTTCAGGGACGTCCAGGAGCATTCTGACCAGGAGTGGCAGGCTGGTCAGAGAGCTGCTAGTCTGGATAATATGCACATGCAGCCTCGCAGGAGCTGGTGCTGCCTGTGGGCTGTGTGATTTCTGGTCATTTCAAGCTCTGTCACTGGAGCAGCTCTGTGCAAGGCGCACCTAGCCGGACCAGGATAGGGAAGGCTGAGTTGGGCACGTGCCAGCATTCCTGGTCCAGCTCCTGACAGGGAAGCTGGGTTCCTGTACCTGGGCTCTCCAGGAACCAAGGATGGAACATGAGGCCTCAGAAAGCACAGAGAGGTGGGTAGTTTTTGAAGATTTTCCCAAGGGATTGGAGGATGAATATTTGTTCACTGACTGGCAGAAACCTCAAATTATTCAAGCTGCTTTGGTGGGGGGTTTTCATCTTTCTCTCTTCTTCCTGATTTTCTTTTTTCTTTTTTTTTAAATATATATTTTTAGKTTTTTTTTTAGATGGACACAATATCTTTATTTTACATTTATGTGGTGCTGAGGATCAAACCCAGTGCCTCGTGTATGCTACGTGAGTGCTCTACCACTGAGCCACAACCCCCAGCCCTTCTTCCTGATTTTCTATGGCTTGTTCTCTATTTCCTTCCCCAGAGAAACAGTGAGTGGGTGGGCAGAGAAAATACAGGATTAAAAAACATCCATGTGGCACACACCTTAATTCCAGCAGCTGGGGAGGCTGAGGCAGGAGGATTGCGAGTTCAAAGCCTGCCTCAGCAACTTAGTGAGGCTCAGGAAGCTGAGACATCAAGAGGATCGTGAGTTCAAAGCCAGCCTTAGCAAGGCACTAAGCAACTCACTGAGACCCTGTCTCTAAATAAAATACAAAAAAGGGCTGGGGATGTTGCTCAGTGATTAAGTGTCCCTATGTTCAATCCCTAGTACCAAACCAAACCCAACCAAACCAAAAATAAATAAATAAATTTTAAAAAAATCTATGGATTCTGACTGGATTCTAGTGCTCTGTGCCAGGTCTCAGATAATCACAAGGTGGTCTCATGGCTTCTGGGGAATGACAAATGGGGTAGTCATCATGCTTTAACATTCTGTGTTTCCCTCCCTCCCCAGGCTGGTGGGCCTGACTGGGCCAGGAAAAGGAGGCATTGTCTCAGATGTAATTGGTAGAGGCCCTCAGAGGAGTCCAGAGAAATGTCTCTGCTGGGGCCTGAGTTCTCAGAGCCAGACGGATCTGTAGTTCTCAAACTGTGTTTTTTTTTTTTTTTTTTGGTATCAGGGATGGAACCCAGGGGCACTCAACCCTGAGCCACATCCCCACTCATTTTCTGTATTTTATTTAGAGATGGGGTCTCACTGAGGCTTAGGGCCTTGCTGAGCTGCTGAAACTGGCTTTGAACTTGAGATCCTCCTGCCTCAGCCTCCCACGCTCCTGAGATTACAGGCGTGCATCACCACACCTAGCTTCAACTTTCGTTTTTTTGTTTTTCCAGTACTTGGGATTACCCAGGCCTCACATATATTAGGTAAGCACTCTCCCACTGCTCTACACATCTAGCATTTTTTATTTTGAGACAGTCTTGCTAAGTGTCTGAGACTGGCCTTGAACTTCTGATCCTCTTGCTTCAGCCTCCAGAGTAGCTGGGATCTCAGGTGTGTGCCATGCACCTGATTTCAATCAGTACTTCTTTCATTTTATGGCTGTGTCTTCTCCAACAGACTGGGACTCCTTCAGAGAGAAGCCCAGTTGAGCACAGGGAAGGTGGGCCAAACTTGATGGAGGTAGGTTTTCCCTGGGCCTCCAGCTGCTCACATCTCTGGAATACCCCCACTGCTCAGAAGCATTGCCTTGTTTATGCAGGGCCTGCCCTCCTTCCAACCACAGATTAAGGCCTGCCCTCCTTCCAACCACAGATTAAGACAAAGCCAGGCAGAGAAGAGCTACTTAGGTGATGAGCTGGCTATTTATAAACAGCAAGTATTTCCCAGGCTACATTTTTTTTTTCTCTGCTTGAGGGTCATCAGAGTTTATAGAGTCTTGACTAAGATAAGGCCTGTGTATTAGCTTACTCCCCACAGACAAGCCACAAAGAGCCTGGACAAATTATCACATCAGAGTTTTTTTCCAGAGAAATAAACAATTTAGTAGATGCACCAACAAATCAATAAGGGAAGACATATGGAAATGAATGGGAAGGAAAGAAGTCATAGGAGTATAACTGACAGTGAGTCAACCCCAACCTAGGCTAGCTGAGGAACCTTGGCAACTTGCTTGACCTTTCTGAGCCTCTTGTGCCATCTGAGAACTGAGAATATAAGTGTGGAGATGTGGTGCAGATATAGGTGTACACATGGAGCACTTGGAATACAGTAAGGTCTTAGCATTTCCTTTAAGATTGCTTTTTTGAGTAGTCACTAGACTTAAAGAATTGCAAGTATCAAGGGAAGATACAGGAGGAGGCGGCATAGCCTCATCCTCAGAGAACCCCAGTCGGAGGAGACACAGCCCTGCCCTGTTGAGACCAGCAGGGCGATCTGTCCACTGGGGTTAGGGAGGTAAGGTGGGAGACCAGGCTGTCCAGAAGGTCAATACGCAGACTAAAGGCAGCTAAGAGCCTCTGCTGGCCTCACCCCAGGTCTGCAGGCTTGGCCCTCATTTCACATACATGTGTAAAATGTGTGAAATGTATAAGGCAGGTGTGCAGGGTTTACCCCAGTTTAGAGACACCAGGAGGGCACATAAGTATCAAAATAAGGATAGATGATGATGGTTAGGAAATGGTTGCCGGGACAGGGAGCAGGTGGAGGGAACTTTCCTAGGAATTTTTTTTTTTTTTTTTTTGGTGCCAGGGATTGAACTCAGGGGCACTTGGCACTCAACTACATCCCCAGACCTATTTTGTATTTTATTTAGAGTCAGGGTCTCACTGAGTTGCTCAGTGCCTTGCTAAATTGCTGCTAAATTGTTGAGGCTGGCTTTGAACTCTTGATCCTCCTGCCTCAGCCTCCTGAGCTGCTGTATTACAGGTGTGCACCACTGCACCTGGGGCTTTCCTAAGAATTTAACCAGAAAAGCCAATAGGCAGGAAGGCCCTGAGAGGCATGAAAACTGAGGCAATTTGGAAACCAGCGGCCACCTGCTGTTGGCTGGTCTCTAGATGACTTACTGAGTGGCTCTGGGGAAGGTTCTCCCCTTCTCTGAATCCCACTTCCTCCTTTGTAGAACAAGCTGTCCAGATGGTTCTAAGTGGAGAGAAGCCTGAACTTCCTGAGGGCCTAGGGAATGCCAAGCCTGGTCAAATGTGTTCCTTGCATTACTGAGAGGTGATGATCATCTGGCCTCACATGGTCCACAGAAGTCAAGCCCCACAGCTTAGCTTTGGGACTCAAAGGTCTGCTCTCTGGCATACCTATGCCTGTCTATGGAGACAACTGAGGATATCTACAGGGTTTTCTGTGCTAGGGAGAGGGCTCCAGGGACATGCAGGTCAGGAAGAGGGGTGAACAGATTGGCGTTGGAAATTCCCAGCCCTGAGGAAGGTGGACTTCGGGGTGGGGTGGAGAGAGCATTTCAGATGTTCAGTGTTCCCAGAACTTCTGGCTCCTTAAGACATGGGTGGGAGCCCCAAGCTGAAGGCCTTGTCAACATCCTTCCAGGCACATTCTCAAAGGTACCCCCTGCCTGGGCCAGGTGTGCAGCTCTTGGACTCCTGTGGGAAGTGAAGCAAGTCCTGGTGTCTGCTCTCTCTACAAACATGGAGCTGTCAGGGAGACAGGCACAAGTGAGAACTTAAGCAGAGGGTGGCCTCCATCAGCCAGCAAGTATCTCACAGCACCTGCATCCTACTGGGCTGGAGCTGTGCACTAGGCCGACCTCAGTGAGAATCCCACACGGCAGCTGTCCTTAAAGACCAGAAACCACAGCTGTAGAACTTATGCCACCAGCTCATAAATGACTGCACCCCTGGGATATGTGGTCTGTTCTGATCACACCTGATGCAAGCTGCCCAGGCACATGCGCTGCCTGGGATGGCTTCTGCTCTGCCACCACCGGTGGAGCCAGCCTTTGCAAAGGAGCTCATGTTTATTGTGCACCTCCTCCACACCAGGCACCCTTGAAGCACTTCAAACAACCTTGTATCAACTCCATTTTAGATTAAGAAACTGAGGCAGGGAGAGGTTAATGAACTTATCCAGAAGAATAAAGCTGGACTGAGAGCCAGAGTCAAACCCAGATGCTCTTATCCCTGCTTACATCACCCTGCCACCTAGAACCACCCATTCTCCAGACAGAGGGTCTTGCCCACACATGAAAAAGAGGTCAGGGCTGCAGGCAATGTGGAAATATGATCACCACGGCCCAGGCCACCATGCAGCCTTTCTAAAGTCTTAATTGTCATAGATGGAAGTCAAAGGCAGTTCACAGAAAAGGGACAACAAGTGGGTCATAAACATATGAAAAGATGTTCAACTTCTCTCATAATGAGAAGGTAATATTTTTCTTCTATTAGGTTGGCAAAGTTCAAAAGCCAGACCTGTGTGGGTATAGCCATGGAAGGCCAGCTCTCACAAGCAAGGTTGTTAGCCCCCTAAAGGGAGAAATATGGGAGGGAGCTGGCAGAATCACTCTTTGATGCAGAAATGTCTCATCTAGAAATTTACTGTTAGATATATTCACAACAAGTACTGTGACCCATGTCCGTGTTTGCATTAAGAGGAGAATGGGAGAAACCCAAACTGCTGTCAATAGGGAATTGAACAGAAACCCTGTGGGTCATTTTCAGGACAAAAATTCAGGACAATTTCCAATGGCAGGTGTAAAAAGACTTCTAAGAAACTACTAAGGGAAAAAGGAAATGTTCAAGGCATTATGTATACAATGTTACCATTCAGGTTAACAAACAAACAGGAAAAATACCATTTGCAGAGTCTCTGCTTGGTTGTCCATGCGCAAAGCCTCTCTGGGTGGACAGGCAAAGCTGGCCACAGTGGTGGGACCTGGAGGCTGAGAGACAGGGAGGGAGAAATGTTTTGTATTAAAGATATTTTATTTAGAAGCTAAACAATGGGGGCTGAGGTTGTGGCTCAGTGGTAGAGCGCTTGCCTAGCAAATGTGAGGCACTGGGTTCAATTCTCAGCACCACATATAAACAAATAAATAAATGGAGGTCCATCAATAACTAATAAAAATTTTAAAAAAAGAAGCTAAACATGGATATCTTTTTGAAGAGTGCAATCATCATTTTCAATGAACATTGTTAAAAATAATGTCTGTTTTAAAAAATAGCATGCTTTCTATTCTTGTGTTTCAAAAGTCTATTTCTATTAAGTAATGAATAGCTCACAGGCAGCTTTTTCACTTGAGACAAAATGTACACAGATGAGTGTGCAAGTATTGTATATAGCTGGATGAATTTTGCACATTCAGGTCGGGCAGAACAAACCCAGCCTGCTTGAGTGCAGGTGAGTGCTTTCACCATAAAGATTCCTTTTGAATTGGGAATCTGTGTGAATATGTGTTATGCTTTAAACAGCTGAACATAGAATAGAGAAATGTAAAAGTGTATGGAGCCCTGCCTGTCGGCCTGGAGAGCCAAGGTTGCAGCCACATCTTTCAGATGAGTAAGGAGCCCTCACCTGGCTAGAGATGGAATTCACAGACAGCGAAGGGTGCCTGCCTCAGGTCTCAACTGCTTGCCTCTGCACGGGCCCAGAGCAGACCTTCTGGAACCTTCTCGTTGGAAGGGTCTTTGGTTAGGAGTGACCTGTCAGAGAAAGATAAAGTTGGTGAGAGATTTAGGGATTAAACTCTGATGGTTGCCAGCAAGAACCTTGTCCATGATCACTACCTATCTTTTCTAGCAACCTGGCAGGGGTCCCAAGAATTATCGCAGGTGGGGGCCTGACAGCAGAGTGAATAGGTGAATTTCTACATTTCCTCAACACTTATGTCTTGGTTTACTATCTATTTCCACCTTCTAGAGCATAAGCTCCAGGAAGGCATGGGCATGGGCTATGTGCTTACTGTTCTTTCTAAAGTGTCCAGGACTGCAGCCAATACATAGCGGCTACAGAGCAAATATTTATCAGGTGAGCAAGGGAAGGAAGGAAGGAAGGAATGAAGGGAGGAAGGGAGGAAGGAAGGAAGGAAGGATGGAAGGAAGGAAGGGAGGAAGGAAGGAAGGGAGGAAGGAAGGAAGGAAGGAGCCAGGTTTTTAGAGGCAGGGGATGAGAGGAACTGGCACCTGGTGAAAAGTCTGGGAAGCCTGAGTCAAGTTCTCTGTTTCTCCTCCAGTCGCATCAAGAGCAATGTGGATGGGCGGTACCTGGTGGATGGTGTCCCTTTCAGCTGCTGCAACCCCAACTCACCACGGCCCTGCATCCAGTACCAGCTTACCAACAACTCAGCCCACTACAGCTATGATCACCAGACTGAGGAGCTCAACCTTTGGCTACATGGCTGCAGGGCTGCCCTGCTGAGCTACTATGACGGCCTCATGAATTCCATGGGTGCTGCCACACTCCTTGTCTGGTTCTTTGAGGTAGGCCTCAGGCCAGCTGTGGGCGAGAAGGAGCTCCCAGCCTCATTTGGGTTTAATGGGGGTGGAGTCAGGCCTGGAGAGTGCATTTCTCTCCACAACACCAGCTTTGGACTGGCTGTGGGTCAGAGCACTGAGCTTGCATCCCATGTCTCTGCTTCATTTAATTTCTTTACCATCACTTTTTTTTTAGTATTTATTTTTTAGTTGTAATTAGGCACAATACTTTTATTTTATTTATTTATTTTTATGTAGTGCTGAGGATCGAACCCAGGGCCTCACACGTGCTAGGCGAGTGCTCTACCACTGAGTCACAACCCCAACTCATCCCATCACTTTTTGAAAACTTWAAAAAAAAAAATCTTTATTTTGGGCTGGGGATGTGGCTCAAGTGGTAGCGCGTTCGCCTGGCATGCGCAGGGCGCTGGGTTCGATCCTCAGCACCACATACAAATAAAATAAAGATGTTGTGTCCACCGAAAACTAAAAAATTAAAAAAAAAATCTTTATTTTTATTTATTTATTTATTTATTTATTTATTTATTTATTTTTATGTGGTGCTGAGGATCGAACACAGTGCCTCACACGTGTGAGGCAAGTGCTCTACCATTCAGCCACAACCCCAGCCCTTTCCCAGCACTTTTTAAAAAAATATAGAGGTGATATTCACAGAACATAAAATTACATTTTAAAGTGTACATTTAATTGGCATTTAGTATATCACAATATACTACCATCTAGTTCCCAAACCTTTCTATCACCCCAAAGAAAACCTCATGTCCAATCAGCAGTCACTCTTTATTCTCCCCCATCTCCTGCCCCTGCTAACTATCAGTCTGTTCTGTGCCTGTGGATTTACCTGTTTTGGACATTTCACATAAACAGACCCATATAATATGTAAGCTTTTGTGTTTGGTTTCTTTTACTTAGCATGTTTTGGAAGTTAATATTGTCCTTTCACTTTTTGAGATCTTGGACTGCTGTTCAACCTCCCTCTGATGTAGGGATACAACACCTAGCTTTGGAGACTGTTGGGAGGCAACATGTACAGCAGTATGTATGTTAGGGGTGTTTGGTAAATAGGAACTGTTTGGGATTGTGTTTCTTCAGATTCTGATCACCATTCACATGTTAATGTAGTTCTTAGATCTTAAAAATATCAGCAAGCCCCCAGTTAATTCATTGAAGAGAATGCTCAGACAATAAACATGTTGGGCACTGTTCTAGGTGCTGACCAAGGGCATGACTGGGAGACAAGGTGGTGGCAGTGGGGGTGCAGTAGGGACTCAGGATGCCTACTTTGAGTTTCTCTGATAGCAGAAAACCCAGACTCCAAAAATCCAAACATACAAAGCCAGAAACATTAGGTAGGAAAGCTTTTTACATCAGAATTTCTTTGAAGGGTTCTTTTTAAGTCATTCTTCCAGTACTATGGGTAGGGTACATCTACTGTGTCTGTGGCTGCTACACACCTTTTTAAATTCACTATATGAAACTAGAGGGTGACTATACTGCCCAGGAAAGCTTTATTAATTATTTTTGGCACTAGAGATTGAACATAGGGATGCTTTACTTATTTATTTAAAATATTTTTATTAGTTGTTCATGGATCTTTATTTTATTTATTTATTTATATGTGGTGCTGAGAATCAAACCCAATGCCTCGCACATGCTAGGCAAGCGCTCTTCCACTGAGCCACAACCCCAGCCCCACAGGGATGCTTTAGTACTGAGCTACACCCCTTTTTATTTATTTTTTATTATTTTTTTTGTTTTGAGAGATAGAAATATTTATTTTTTAGTTTTTTCGGCGGATAAAACATCTTTGTATGTGGTGCTGAGGATAGAACCCGGGCTGCACACATGCCAGGCGAGCACAATACCGCTTGAGCCACATCYCCAGCCCCACCCTTTTTTATTTTTAGTTTTGAGACAGGGTATCTCACTAAGTTGCTGAGGGCTGTCTTCAATTGCTGGGTCTGGCCTTGAACTTTTGATCCTTCTGCCTGAGTCACTAGACTAGAGGCATATACCACCACTGTGCTCAGCAGCAAGGCGCCTTTGTGGTTTTTTTTTTTTTTTTTTTGGTTGGGTACTGGGGATCGAACTCAGGGGCACTCAACCACTGAGCCATATCCCCAGTCCTGCTTTCTATTTTTATTTAGAGACAAACTGGGTCTCACTGAGTTGCTTAGCATCTCATGTTTGTTGAGGCCAGCTTTGAACTCATGAACCTCCTGCTTCAGCCTCCCCAGCTGCTGGGATTACAGGCTTGCACCACCACATCCAGCTTTTTCTTTTTTCTTTTTTTTTTTTAAAGAGAGAGAGAGGGAGAGAGGGGGGGGGGAGAGAATTTTTAATATTTATTTTTTGGTTCTCGGCGGACACAACATCTTTGTTGGTATGTGGTGCTGAGGATCGAACCCTGGCCGCACGCATGCCAGGCGAGCACAATACCGCTTGAGCCACATCCCCAGCCCCCAGCTTTTTCTTTTCTTTTTTTTTTTTTAAAGTTTATTTTATTTATTTACTTATTTTTTAGAGAGAATGAGAGAGGGAGAGAGAATTTTAATATTTATTTTCTAGTTCTCGGCGGACACAACATCTTTGTTGGTATGTGGTGCTGAGGATCGAACCCTGGCCGCACGCATGCCAGGCAAGCGCGCTACCGCTTGAGCCACATCCCCAGCCCCCCCCCAGCTTTTTCTTTTCTTTTTAAATATTTTTTTTTAGTTGTAGATAGACACAATATTTTCATTTATTTATTTCTATGTGGTGCAGAGGATCGTAACCAGGGCCTCAAGCGTGTGAGGCAAGCACTCTACCACTGAGCTACAGCCCCAGCTCCACAGCAAGGCTTCTTTTGATATCAAGGTCAACAGCATATTTATGACCATTTAGCTTTGGGGCCTTTTTGTTGGTCTTGCCTCCTGAGACAGTGTCTTGGGAACGAGTAGGTAGACCAAGGAGAGTAGCTTATTGCTAGAAGTTTAGATGGTTAGGATCTCGCAGAGCTCATGAAAAGACTGAAAGGACAAAGCAGTCAGCTGGGAAGTGGAGTCCCACTAGCTGCCTCTCAGCTTACCTCCCTTGTAAGATCCTACTGACAAGATGAGGGCCAGCACATCGTGTGCAGGGACTAAATGGCCCCAATTTCCTCCAGGCCTTTTGTGATTAGAGATAGGATGAACACGAAGGTGGCAAAGATAATAACCCCTTGACCCCTATGCTTCACAATCCAGTCAGGAGATGACATTAAACTTATGAACAAAGGGAGGACCATAACCAAGGGCAAAATTCATAATGCAGTGGGTGTTCTATAGGAAAGCAGGAAGGGATCAGTGTGGACGCACTCAGCATGAGGATTTCCTGGAGGAGGTGACTTTTTCCATTGTGAAAATATTCTATTAAACCTTCAATCGACAATAATAATAAAAGTTAAAACTCCATCACTTACTTACTAGTCATTATAAATTATCTCCAGAGCATTCATCAGCAGGTATTTACTGAGACCCCACCATTACCCAGGGTATTCTAGGAGCTGAGGCACTGGGTGAACAGAGCCATCAGGGCCAGCCCTGCCCTCAAGGAGCAGCCTAGTCTTCTCACAGTGTGCCCTGACACACAGGAAGCAGAAGAGTACAAATCAGGCATTTCTGTAGAAATATGTGACCAATGGAATATGTCACTGGAAAAGCAAAAACAGTACTTACCAAGCTAATCACAGATGACACTCCTATTTGTCCTGCCATGGGCCAGCATTGTGTGCTATACAGATACCAAGGCACCACAGCATCCATGTGAGGCAGGTGCCATTGCATCTGGAAACCTGCAAACCAGAGGAATAAGTCCTGGTTTCCTAGTCACATGACTTGTGAAGTGCCACGGCTGGGGTTCTAACCCAGGCGTTTGGCACCAATGTCTGCCACATGCAAATGATCCATTACTAGCATCCATTCATTGCCACTCTAATCAAAATAAAGTAATAAAGAGAAACCACACATCCTATTGTTTGCTGAAAAGGTGTCTTTTGACATTCAATGATTACCAAACACTCAATACATGCCAAGGAATGTGCTAGGAATGGGGTGGAGGGCATCATGGTAAAGTAACCCAGGACTGAGGGAGTAGCAACTCTCCAAGGGTTGAAGCTGAATTAATGGTAAGGTGAATGTTTTGGCAAGAGAACAATGAATGGTACAGACCCAGAGGGGAGAAAGGATTTGGTGTGGATTAGAGGCAGACACATTGAGCCAGGGTGCCCCCCCCCGCCCAGTTTGAGCACTACTCCGGGAGGCACAGATTGGTGGAAAACCCATGGTTTCCTCCTAGCCCAACTCCTAGCTCCTGCCCCTCATTCCTGTCTTCTCTCTTCACCAGGTAACTGTCACAGTTGGGCTGCGCTATCTGCATACAGCACTGGAAGGTGTATCCAATCTCGAGGACCCTGAGTGTGAGAGTGAGGGCTGGCTGCTGGAGAAGAGCATACCCGAGACCTGGAAGGCCTTTCTGGAGAGCTTGAAAAAGCTGGGCAAGGGCAACCAGGTGGAAGCTGAGGGTGCAGATGCAGGCCAGGCCCCTGAGGCTGGCTGATGGCCCCTGCCCTGCCCCTCCTGAACACTGAGTAGTGGACTCCAGGAAATGCGGATTCCTCCCTTGTCCAACTGAAAGTCTGATCTCCCAAGAAGGCTGGCCACCTCTCAGAGACTCTTCTTGTCTCTGGGAGACAAGAAGTTTAGGGTCCCCAAAGTGTGTGGCAAACACTTTTTGAATGACTCCAAATGTGAATAAATGAGGCCCAGCAGGCTCCCTGCCCTGAGATGTGCCCTTATGATGGACTCATGGCCTCTCTGGTGATGACTACCCAGGATTTATGCTTCTCCTAGCACATTAATCCAGTCTCATCTTTAAGTATTGACCACACCTGAGTGGTGCTCCTCCTTTAGTTTGGCTGTTATGAGCTCCAAGTTGCTTTATTTTAAATCCAAAGCATCACTTGATGCATACAGGAATCTGAAGAATATAATGGCCATTTTGTGGGGGGTGGTGGGGGTGTTGATAATGGGGATTGAACCCAGGGCACTTACCCACTGAGCCACATTCCTAGCCCTTTTTGTATTTTATTTATAGACAGGGTCTCACTGAGTTGCTCAGGGCCTCATTAAATTTCTGAGGCTGGCTTTGAACTCAATCCTCCTGCCGAAGCCTCCTGAGCCACTGGGATTACAGTATGCCACTACGACCAGCTTTTTTTTTTTTTTTTTTTTAATGCCAAGATTGACAGGTCATTTTGTTTGTTTAATGCCAGAAGGAGGGGGAGAGTTACCCTTTTCTAAGGGTATTGGACTCTGCAAAGCATTGATTCCCCTATACAGGAATTCAATCGTGGGGCAAAAGAATTTTGAGGTAGGGGCTTATTTCCCACCAAAAACACACTGAAAGGCCTGCTTTTCTGTTACATTCCCATGCTCTGTCACTTAGTCCAAGTAAATCATGGGCTGTCAGCATGTTCTAGCAATACCCTAAAGTGCTAAATGAACACCTGCAGCTCATCTCTAGGAAGTCCTGGATTAGGTTACTGCCCTGCTGTGAAAGAGGAGCAATTATCAGACAAGAATTCACCCCTTTGGAGGTCAGGCCTCACCTTCTGGTGGGCCTGGGGACACCTGTACAGGCGGCTGTGACATCCCCCATGGACCAATATAGTGGAGGGCAAGCAGTCCTCTGGGAGTTTCTCCCCCAATATCTATCCTGCAAAGCAATATTTTGGAATGTTTCTGTATCAAAGATTCTTTGAGAAGCCAATGTTCCTGAGCTAGCACTTGTATAAGAAGGGTTCACTTGCTTTAGGAAACAGGAAAGCTTCAGGGAAAGGAGAGCACAATTTTACTGGCATTCCAGGCCCCTGGGGAACCTGATCACAGAAGGGCCCAGCATAATTCTGCTAGTTGGATAAACATTCAAGAGAGTTTATTCCTACCTGGCTAGAGATCAAAGCCAGGAGGTAGAAGACAGAGGGGGAAGCCTTTAACTTGCCTCTGCTCTGACCAAGAAATGGTGTTGGTAATAGGTTACTTTGGACCCAGTCGGGGTTTATTCTAGGAACTTTAGTATAGAGACTAAGATACTGGTGCTGTCTGAGCTATGTCTGGGATTCAATTCTCTCGGATCAGAAGATGTTTGGACACCCTGTCAAATTTTGGTTCCAGGCTTACATAGATATAAGTTTGAGACCAAGGAAGGATCCACTCTGAAAACACTGAGTCAGCCATCTCTGGTGAGGGCCCTTGAGCTCTGGAGCTCCCAGCTGTCTCTCAGGAGTGCCGAGAACCATCATGAAACTGCTGTTCTAGGCCCATATATGTATCTATGCTGTCAACAGCTGTGTAACATATTAAAAACTATGGTACAAAATTTGCTTTGTTAAACGACTATCTTAACTCATCAATAGCAGGTATGCCAGAATACCCAACACTAGTTAGCATTCATTAAAGAATACAAGAGATTATCAATCACTGTTACCAACATGTCTTAGGTACCATTTTGACTTAGTGATTTAAGCAAAAGTTCTATTTTTTAAAAAAAATTTTAATATTTATTTTTTTAGTTTCCGGCAGACACAACATCTTTGTTTGTATGTGGTGCTGAGGATCGAACCCGGGCCTCACGCACGCCAGGCGAGYGCACTACCCCTGAGCCACGTCCTGGGCGCAAGCAAAAGTTCTAAACCTTGTGCTGGGGTGTAGCTCAGTGATACAGTGCCATCCTAGCATGTGGTAGGCCTGGGCTTGATCCTTAGTACAGTTAAAAAAAAAAAAAAAATCCAAATCTTTTTTTACCCCCATCTCTTTGCCTATAATATAGTTCCCCAAACAGGGAAATCTTAGCCTCCAGGGGGACAAGTAATGGGGAGGATGTGGGCAACCCAAGAATCTGAAACAGTKTTGGGAGCATCAAGGGTCATGACCCCTTGATAAATCTCAACAGTTGGTTCAGAGCATATTTAAAAACTGAACAGGTTTCAATTAGTCAGGTATTTGCTAGAGAAACCTGGTCCATTCCTTTTGGTCACCTATCAGTGTCTAGTAAGACTCAGGTACCAGGTTTTTTTTTTTTTTTTTTGGGGGGGTGGGTACCAGAGATTGAACTCATGGGCACTCTGCCACTGAGCGACATTCCCAGCTCTATTTTGTATTTTATTTAGAGACAGGGTCTCACTGAGTTGCTTAGTGTCTCAACACTGCAGAGGTTGGCTTTGAACTTGCAATCCTCCTGCCTCAGCCTCCCCAGCTACTGGAATTACAGGTGTGTGCCACTGTGCCCAGCCCAGGTTCTTTCTTGTGTATAACTTTAGTCTTTCCTAGGGCTAGTGTAAATTCACTTCTCCCAAAGGACTCAGCCAATTTTTAAAGTTGTCAGCCTGGCTCTGGGGTGGAGTTGGAGGTAAAGACAGGACTTCGGGGATTCATGCATGCAAGGCAAATGCTCTAACATTGATCTATTATCCCCAGCCCAGGATTTTTACTTTTTTTTTTTTAATCTTGCCCTAAAGGCAATTATTTATTTATTTAAAAATATTTATTGTTTAGTTTTCGGCAAACACAACATCTCTGTATGTGGTGCTGAGGATGGAACCCGGGCCGCATGCATGCCAGGCGAGCGCGCTACCGTTTGAGCCACATCCCCAGCCCCGGATTTTTACTTAAAATTTTTTTTTTTTTTAAGTTGAAGATGGGCACAATACCTTTATTTATTTTTATGTGGTGCTGAGGGCCAAACCCAGTGCTTCATGTGTGCTAGGCAAGCGCTCTGCCACTGAGCCACAACTCCAGTCTAGACTTTTACTTTTAAATCACTGTTTAGGGAATTAGTAGGCAATGGGTTCCAATACTGAATATTTAGGAAGCCAGGTATCCTGGAATTTGTAGCCCCAGCTCAAGAACCCATAGCTTCTGCCAACAATGCTTCAAGCCCAGGGATGAGCCGCCAGCAAATAAAACCCTGTGTAACCTCAATATAGTTAATAAGATTAGATTCTTGTTTGACACGCTCCCCTCCCCTCTTTATCTGGGTATCCATCAAGCTAGGCCAGCAGGTTTGCATCTTAGCTGAGGCAGTGAGGGGCCAAGACAACGAGGGTCCCTCACCCACTATTGGGTAGAAAATCAGCCCTGGAGGGCAACATGCCTCATTTGTGGAATACTGTCTTAGTCCAAGAAGACAGGGGATGCCCATCTTGGTTCTCAGTGGACAGAGTTTTGGCTAAAAGGGAGGAAATTTCAATCCTTAATTCTTGGTGGCATTTTATCCTGTCCTCCAAAACAGAGGATGAGGTATGGATGGCCAAGTTAAAGAGATCAGAGAATAGCATGCTCAAGGACACTGTCAAGTGGGGGATTATGATAGAAGGGACAACTCCTAGATATTTTCTCAAGGGGAATGAGAATTCAGTCAACACAAAAACCCACATATAAATGTAGTAGTAATCAGTGAATAATCACCAGAAGCACCAAATATTCACTACCTGGCAACGGTACAAACATTTATACAACCAAATAGTACTCAACAATCAAAATAAAAGGAACATGGGTGACTCTTTGTGAGAGAAACAGACTCAACAAGCTACATACAATGATTCCACTTGTATCTCATCTGACAAAAGGCACAGAGGGACAGATTATTAGTGGGAGCCAGAATCKGAACATAAAGAAAAGCTGGCTACAAAAGGGCACCAGGGAATTTTTTTGGGTGATGGAACAGTTCTATTTCTTAATTGTTTGTAAAATACCTTCAATAAGCTTTGCTTGGAAAAACAAGAGTAGGGACAGAGCAAGATGTGTACCCGAGGGGGCTTGAAGAGTCCTGGAACTAAAAACTACACTGGGTAGGGAGTAGCTGGGGCAGCTTTACCAACCAGGAGACAGGGAAGGTTTTAGTTTCACACTTTTCTGTTAAGAGGATTCTGAAAATCACAGCAGAACCCCTCATATCTAAGGGCTCTGCTATGATTAAAAAATATCACTTCCTGGGGCTGGGGTTGTGGCTCAGTGGTAGAGCGCTGGCCTAGCATGCGTGAAGCCCTGGGTTTGATTCTCACCACCGCATAAAGATAAATAAATAAAAGTATTGTGTCCATTTACAGCTAAAAAATATTTAGAAAGACACTTCCTTTCTATATATGTCTCAGAAGCATAAAGTGTCTGGCAAGTGTGTAAGGATAAGAAGCTGGAGACCACCAGATACGGACAAGAGTTGAAACCTGGGCAGGTCTCAAAGTGCCTTGTTGTCCTAGTAATTTGAGGACTGAAATGGGTCCAGAAAAGTCACAAACTATCATTGACAATGAAAATAAAATTTAATTGGCTGAAATAATGACTTAAGCTTTCTCTGGGAAGGTCAGAATGACTTGGCTAGAAGCCATAGTTGACACTAATAATATAAGCCTCTTAAATTTCAAGCTAATACAGAAGTCCCACTTCCGCAGCAAGGTGATATAGGAAGCACTGCTGTGACATTTAAATGTGTGAAATAAAACCAAAAAGAAGATGTAGGTCAATCCAAAGTAACGTCAACACCTAAAGCATTTATTTGGTTATCTTTAAACTTTTTACATATGATACATCTC